GAGAGAGAGAGAGAGAGAGAGAGAGAGAGAGAGAGAGAGAGAGAGAGGGAAAGAAAACACACACCTTGGCAAGAAAGAGTATATCTTCATATATAGGAGAACATATAGGTAGCTCTTGACTTACAGTGATTCATTTAGCAATTGTTTGAAGCTACGACAGTACAGATAGTCCTTGACTTACAACAATTTGTTTAGTGCCCAACTCTGCACTGAAAAAACTGACTTATGATCCTTTTTCGCAGTTACGGCAGCGTCCCCGCAGTCAGATGATCAAAATTCAGGGGCTTGGCGCATGTCCACGCATGTGTGCGTTCTCAGGCTTACCTTTCGGTTTGGGCATGCGCAAGCATGCAGTTTGGGCACTTGGTGTCTAAAAGATTCACCATCACTGGTATAGGGTCTCCTGCTTGAGCAGGGGGTTGGACTAGAAGACCTCCAAGGTCCCTTCCAAGAACTCTATTTTGATCGATTGATTCTGCTACTCTGCTTTCAATCAACCTGTCGTCGTCCCCCCACAGCTGATTTTTGCTTTCCTGGCTCACTTTTTTTTTTTTTTTTAATCAGCCTGGGTGAGAAAGAGTGTGGCACTCTGCCCATGCTTGAATGGATTTTACAGCAATTCAACCAAGCAGCCTATTAAACCTTTTGCTACTGATTGCTGATAAACAGGCCGTGTTGGGGGTGGGGGGATGGAGGACGGTGTGTAGGGGAGAAGGAGGGAGAGAGGGAATTAGGAGCCGAGAGGAAGCAAATACACTTATGAGCTTGTAATTAACTGCACCAATGCCCAGAATGAACACAAGAGATGTCGAAATGCTTCAAAAAAAAATGCAAAGGTAGCTAGGGACCAAAAAAACAAAACAAAAACCCTCACATTATTGGCAAATAAAATGCTTCACTGCTCCATTAATTTAAAGTAGTCAGTTCTTCTTGTCTACACAATCCATCCGAGTGTTAATATTTCAAAACTAAGTATTGCCTGCTGTTTAACCCAACAGCTTCTTCCCACCTGGGCTACCCCATCTCTTTAATACAAGACCTTTCCTTCAAGGCCTTCCTTCCTTCCTTCCTTCCTTCAATGATAAGGAGCAGTGGTGAAATCTAAAATTTGTTACTACCGGTTCTGTGGGTGTGGCTTGGTGGGGGGGTAATGTGACTGGGTGGGCGTGGCCAATTTTTTTTTAACTTTTAAAACCATTTTTTCTACAACCTCTTCGGCGAACAGATTGTAAAAAATGCTTTCAAAAGGTTCTGACGATCCCAGCTGAGTTGCCTGATCGTCAGAGGCTTTTTTTCTTTTAAATGCCTCTGCCGATCAGGCAACTCAGCTTGGATCGTTAGGCATCGTCTTGGATTGTCAGCTTGGATCGTCAAACTCAGCTTGACGATCAGGCAACTCAGCTTGGATCGTCAGAGACATTTAAAAGAAAAAAAGCCTCTAATGATCGCGCGGCTCAGCTGGGCATGGGGGGGGGCAGGGATTTTTGCTACCGGTTCTCTGAACCACCCGCCTTCATCGCTACCGGATCAGGTGATCCAGTCCGAACCGGAAGCATTTCACCCCTGATTAGGAGGCTAAAAAGTACAAAGAACGGTTCCAGGAATTGGGTATGTGAAGTCTAATGAAAAGAAGGGGGGGGGGCATATTAGCAGTCTTCCAATATTTGAGGGGCTGCTACAAAGATGAGGAGCTCCAACAGGCTGGTCTGGCCTAACTCTCCCTTTTAAATTGGCTTTTAAATTGGCTTTTAAATCGGGTTTTAGATCTCTTTTAGATAAATTTGGATGTTTTAATCTTTGAGCCTAAATTACTTAATCTGTTTTTTAATAGTTTTTAACTTCTATATGTCTTTGTATTTATTATGGCTGTTCACCGCCCTGAGTCCTTCGGGAGTAGGGCGGTATACAAATATGAATAAATAAATAAATAAATAAATAAAATATTTTCCAAAGCACCAATAGGCAAGACAAGAAACAATGGTTGGAAACTAACCTATTCTCCGAAGCACTTGAAGGCAGGACAAGAAGCAATGGAGAGAAGCAACCTAGAACTAAGGAAGAATTTCTTAACGGTGAGAAGCAATTAACCCATGGAATAACTGGCCTTCAGAAGTTGTGGGGACAGGAGGCTAATGTCAGGGATTCCAAGTAACATCCCCAACGAAAGAAAACTCAAGAGGCTTGGATTTCCTCAGAGTTCCATTTTATTTAAGATGTCATATTGGCACATCTGGGAAAACCCGAATCTGAAAGTTTCTAGGTTTTCCCCATCCAAGTGAAAGTTCAAGCCCCTGCCCAACACCCATGTCCATCACATGGTCCAATCATCCACCATCCAAATTGGAGATACCTCCCAGTCATCCGACTTCAGGTGCCAGGGCAAGGCGTCCTTGACACTCTGAGGAAGGAATGTTATTTTGACTACATATCACCCATACTCTATACAATCCCCCTCCCCCTATATGTAACATATAATGAACAGTTGTGGGAATTGGGAATGTCTAGTTTAATGAAAAAAAGGACTAGGGGTGACATGATGGCTGTGTTCCTATATCTAAGGGGCTGCTACAAGAAGAGGGGATCCAATCAACCTATTCTCCAAAGCACCTGAGGATAGGACAAGAAGTAACAGATGGAAACTCATCAAGGAGAGATCCAACTTAGAACTAAGGAGAAATTTTCTGACAGTGAGAACAATCAACCAGTGGGATGGCTTGTCTTCAGAAGCTGTGGGTGCTCCATCACTGAAGGCTTTCAAAAAGAGACTGTACAGCCATTTGTTTGAAATGTGATAGAGTCTACTGCTCGAGCAAGAGATTGGACCATAAAACCTCTGAGGTTCCTTCCAACGAATAGAATAGAATAGAATAGAATAGAATAGAATAGAATAGAATAGAATAGAATAGAATAGAATAGAATAGAATAGAACAGAACAGAACAGAACAGAACAGAGTAAAATACAGTGGTGAAATCCAATTTTTTTTACTACCGGTTCTGTGGGCTTGGCTTGGTGGGTATGGTGTGGCTTGGTGGGCATGGCAGGGGAAGGATACTGCAAAATCTTCATTCCCACCCCACTCCAGGGGAAGGATACTGCAAAATCCCCATTCCCACCCTACTCCTGGGGGAAGGATATTGCAATACCACCAGCCAGAGGTGGTATTGGTCAATTCTCCGAACTACTCAAAATTTCCACTACCGGTTCTCCAGAACCTGTCAGAACTTGCTGGATTTCACCCCTGGTAAAATATGGAATGGAATGGAATGGAATGGAATAGAATAGAATAGAATAGAATAGAATAGAATAGAATAGAATAGAATAGAATAGAATAGAATAGAATGGATATTGGAATGAAGAAGAGAAGAGAAGAGAAGAGAAGAGAAGAGAAGAGAAGAGAAGAGAAGAGAAGAGAAGAGAAGAGAAGAGAAGAGAATTCTTTATTGGCCAAGTATGATTGGACACACAAGGAATTTGTCTTTGGTGTATATGCTCTCAGTGTACATAAAAGGAAAATATACATTCGTTAAGAAGCATAAGGTACAACACTTAATGATAGTCATAGGGTACAAATAAGCAATCAAATCATACTAGGAAACAATCAATATAAATCATAAGGATACAAGCAAGAAAGTTACAGTCATTCAGTCGTAAGTGGGAGGAGGTGGGTGATAGGAAGAAAATAATAGAATATTATTCTATATTCTAGGCGTTCACCCTTTTATGGTAGAGTTGGCCCAACACATTTCTGTATTTTTTTTTCTCCAAGAACTCATGGTGACTGTTTTGTCACGCTGATGAGGTGCATGGAAGGGAAGAAGAAAGAAAAAAGAAGAAGAAAAAAAAAGAAAGAAGGCCTATCTGTATTCTACCAACCCAACAGAAGGAATTCTATGCATTTGGCCTCCTAGAATTCCTGTCTCCTGTGGTGACCCACATAGTTGTTTAACACAAGGCTGGAGTTATTTATTGGCTTTATTTTTAGAACTCTCCCCAAAGAGCCTCTGTCTCTGTCTTTGCCTTATATGCTGATTCCATTTAAGCAGATTTTAGAAATATGCCAAAGGTGCTTTTTCTTTTCCCAAGAGGCAACCGGTAGGTTAAGTAACCACCTAACCAGCCTAAAAATATTTTCCTTCAACTAGAGAGAGAACTTTCCCAGGCCTGCTTGCCAAGAATCTTTTAGCTGATGC